TCCAACCCCCTTCTAACATTCCTGTGCGTATAAAAAGCAATTTGACAATTTTGTACAAGTTTTTTTAAAAAAGAGGAAATGGGGGTGGGGGTGGGGGTAGCATAAAGAGGCATATTTCCCCTCTTTTAAAGTTTTGATGTCAAATCCCCATGCAAGTTTTTAAGTACAAAGGGTGGAGTTTGCTGAATAGCTTAAGAATAACTTATGAGATGCAAACCCTCCGAGAAATTCACAAGCACACAAAATTTTCTGTGCTGCTTAAGTGTTCCCTGGTGTTGCCTTAACCTTTAGATATCCACAAGTTTCTCAATTGCAGAAAAAATCCAGTAAAAATAACATTGCAAGCATGAATCTGCCTGCTTATGTAGAGCTGATTGCATAAGACAGGATGTATACAACTGTAAGAGGGATGGAAACATGGGACCTATTTAGTAAAGCACTCCAAATCACTGCTAGAAGAAAAGTGGTTGTGCAGTTCCCAGCCACCTCCATTTAAAAAAAAATCAAGGGCTTCCTGGGGCTTTCTTTTATCTGTCACTGTTACTTAATATGACGGGAACATTAAAAAGGAACCAAACGTAATCATGGCATTGGTGTCCTCTTTAACTTTACACTTTTTATATAGAAAATTAGTTTGGGAGAAAATTAGTTTGAAAGAAATTTCCAATGGCTTTTAGTCAGGCAGTAGGGTATTGGTACAGCGGTTGCTTTAATGTATATATTAGAAACATACATCTGGGGAAGATAATAGGAGATTAGGGTATTCCCATGGTGCCCCCTAGCCAGCCATCTTCTTGAAGGCCTCCCTAATGTGCCTGCTAATTTAACCATGTAGGTACTGAGTATTTCACAATAATCGACCTTGACAGCTTTGGCTTCCTACGTTATTGGCTGCCTCTGCGTTATGTCATGACAATTTGCTATTGGCAGTAAGTTCACAAGCTTTCTTTGCATTCCTCTCTGCTTTTTCGGAAATGCAGTCTGTGATGACGAAGCATGCAATCCCCTTTTCCCTCTCCTTATAGCTTCTTGCAACCCAGGCGGTTTGTTTTCAGTGAAAAGTTAATTTACTTATTATTTTTTTAAAATAATACCCTGTGCAACCATCATGTACATAGAGCTAAGGTCTTGTTTCTGCTCAAGCTCACAAAGAGACATATTAAGAGTTTTGAACGATCTAATTTTAAATAGTGTGGATGTCACAGATTCCACTGCTGACACCATATGTCATGGGTTTGCATTGCTGCCAACCTTATGTCAGAAGTATTCACAGGTCTCAGCCCGGAGTCTGTGACTGGATATCACTACCATAACCCAGAGCATTCCTTTTAGTCAACCATTCTAGATTAACCTCCACCAGTGAAGCATGGTTGTGGCTTCTTCATAGCTGGATGCCACTGTGTTGCTTTAATATTTGAAAAACAGAAACATATGAGACAGTGGGATCATCTATACAGGTTGCTGAAGGAAAGGAAAATGATTATAGAAATCTAGGGGATCTAGTGGATGGGCTGTGGCTCAGTGCAAGAGCCTCTGATTCACATGCAGAAGGTGCCAAGTTCAATCCCCGCCATCTACAGTCAAAAGAACCAGGCACTAGGTGATGTGAAAGACTTCTGTCTGAGACTCTGAGAGCTGCTGCCAGTCTGAGTAGGCAATACTCACCGTGATGCTTTTGGAACACCCCACCTCTTGAGGCTTGCCTAGCATTTCCTTTTGGCTCCAGTCCAAAACATTTATTTTTATCCAGGCTTTTAACTAAAGGGGCTCCTTCTTTATTAGCTGTTTTATGGTTTGTTGACAATTTTATGAATATAATTTCAGGTTGCTCAGTGTTTGTTGGTGCTGGTTTTATGCCCTGGCTTGTTTTAAATGGGCTTCTTTGGTTTCGTTGTATTGTTTTAGCTGTGAGCTGCCTTAGGTCTTAATTTTATTCTGTTTATGCATTTACTTCATTTATATTCCACCTTTCTCCCAGTGGAGGGCAAAGGTGGCTTACATCATTTTCCTCTCCTCCCTTTTGAAGAGGCAGCATAAAAGTTTTCTCAGTAAGTAAATGAACAGGGCTGCACTAATTAATTAGTTATCGCATGGCATTGTGTGTAGTATAGCCAGGAGATCCTAAGATTGTCTGGCAGGCTAAAGTTCTAGCTCTTGTAGTGTTATGCACCACTAGGTGGTGAGATAGACTTATTTTGGGGGCTGAGTGAGCTTGAAAGAACTGTGACTGACCCAAGGTTACCCAGGTGGCTTCATGTGGAAGAGTGCAGAATTGAACCCGGTTCTACAGATTAGAGTCCATCACTCTTAACCACTACACCACACTGGCTCTCAGGACTGCACTGAAAACATATTAATTCTGAATGACATCCATGTAAGAAGGAAATATTCTATGGGTAGTTTTCACTTCAGTGCTATGAATCTTTCAGGAAACCCTCAGGAATGTCATGGGGGCAAACCAGGGGTCTATAGTGGAAAAGGAGAATTGGTGGAAATTATATCCCCCTTTCATTAACCAGAAAATTAGGCTGCATCCAATTCACAGTGTTACTGGTGGTTTGTTGTTGTTGTTGCTGTCAAATCGCAGCTGAATTATGGAGATCTCATAGGGTTTTCAAGGCAAGAGACATTCTGAGGTGGTTTACCATTGCCTGCCAGGAGCCTTCTGTGGAGGTCTCCCATCCAAATACTAGCCAGGGCCAACCCTGCTTAGCTTCCAAGATCTGAGGAGATTGGGTTAGCCTGGCCTATCCAGGTCAGCGCATTAAAGGTGACATTACTATACAATTTCCTCCCATATTACTATGTGGCTTCTTAAACCTGACATTGCTTGGGGCCTCAGCATATCTTGATTCACTCATTAACTGTAATTACTATGAATAGTAGCTGTGGATGGACTTCTCTCCCATGAATCTATCTAGTTCAAGCACAGTAAAATTCCTCACATGAAGTGGTCTTGCTATTATAGCCTTGTGGAGATAGTAATACCTGAGTACAGGGTGTTCATAGCATCCTGGTAGTGATTTGTAAGAATGTTTTTAAAAAATGTTTGTGCAGACTTGTCACTGTGTAATCTAGCCCCCTCATATATTAGTTCCTCCATGAAGCAGCAGACCCAGAATGGTTTCATGTGTCAGAATGTATGCATTAGGCCAAAGACCAATATCAATATGTTACACTCACTGTGCTTTTCAGGCTTATTGAGAGTCAAATGCACTTAAATCAATGAGACTCATTTCCAAGTAAATATGTTTAGTACTGATGACTAATGCTCATAAAGTTCATTTTAATACACATTTGACAGCCATATAATAATTTTAACTATAATTCTAGTGCCGTTTTTAAATGCCAGTGCTTTTCACAATAATCAACACAATCTAGCCGATTTCTCTCGTTTAAAACGAGTACAAGCCTTTTTTCTCTCTGCGCAGCTAATAGAGAGTGTGTGGTAACTGAGGAATGTGTCACAGTAATGCAGAGAGCTGTAATGATGTCAACTTGTTATTTACTTTCCAAATCTGAATGACTGAGCAAGGCGAAAGGAGAATCAATCAGCCACAATGTGACCCTGCAGGCGGAAAAAACACAGCTCTCTCACCAGTAAGAGGTTGGGGGATGGGAGGCACATGTAACCAGGGCAATGTTGCATCATTTACTTGCATTGCTTGTTGTATTGCTCCCTGCTTTTCTCGATAGAATGTTATAGCTCAGTGTGAAGCTGGACAAATCTAAAGGAAAATAAGGAGGAGGGCTCATTCAAGACAAAAGAACGTCAACATCTGTTTTGAGTGCTGAATGGCAACTCATATGTAATAAAAGCTATTCTGCTGAATCACAATTATGGAGACAGTGTAAGTCTATATTTTAATGTGCTATAATTATTGCATAGAAGCATTGGTTTTAAATCACTCATGAAATATATAGGGTATATAAATATTATGGGTTGTGTCCTGTTTTTAAAAGGTGAACTCCCACTTATATAATTTTTCTTTCAAAAGCAGGCATTGTGTTATTACCATTATTAGGTTATGTTTCAAATGACACATAATTGGTTTAGGACTTTCTTTGCTCACCAGAGGCGAGATAACTTTTTAAAAATTTTTAAAAAAGGGGGGGGGGGGGGAATAAACATAGAAGATGGATATGATGAATTGTCTAGTTGTTTAAACAGTAGTTACAGTGTTTATTATATGTGTATGCCATATATAATACACATGACAGTATATGGAAATTTATTTCTGCTCATCTGCTAAAAAACTGATAATCAGTTCCATGTTTATTAATCTTTTTACCGCCCCCGCCCTGTCCTGTCTTCTAGAAACAGGTTTTAATAACAGACATATACAAATAATCATGGCAACTGTGGCAATTTAAAAAAAAAAAGGTTTTACTCCCTTTTGATCCCCTTTGGCTTAACTGGCCAAGGTTAAAATTTCATTTATATGCAGAAGAGTAGGGGGAGGCGGATGTTTTGTTTTAGTGGAAGAAAACATTTCAATAATCCACAAAAGTGACTGAGGAGTTACTTCAGGACACACCACTTGGGAAGGGGGGGGATTAATCTGATATGGAAGTTGGGCATTTGTGTTTCGGCAGATGAAATACTACAAAGCATATGTCCACAGAGGGAATTCTGTGTGATTTCTGCTTTCTTCCATTACTGAAGATCAATGTGGCTGATCCCCCTCCCCCCCCCGTCCCCCCCAGATCACTGACTGTCTCTATGGATCTATCTGTATGTGTGTTTATGTGCTTCTCTCGCTCTTTCTCTGGGTTGCTGCTGTTGCAGTCTCTGGAGGAAGACTGTCCTTTACACACACACACCCCAAGCACATTAACTAATGAAGTAGTGAGCAGCAGCAGCACCTCCTGACCGCCATTCCGCACCCAAAAAAAAAAAAAAAAACTTTCCATTTTCCTCTTCCCACTCTCTGGGACTTCCTTTTGATCCCCTCCACCCCCACCTCGTGTGTGTGTGTATGTCTGTGCAGAGGAAGAGGGGGAGCAAAGAGTGTGTGAGGGCTGCTGGAGATTTACAATCTGCCTTCACGCTTTTGGGACCTAGGAAAAGAAGAGTTCCAACCATGGACTGCAACTGAAAAGAAGTCTGTCTTATGTGTGTGTGTTTTTGCAGAAGTTGAGGCTTTTTCCTCTGTTGCTTGCCGAAGTGTAAGCGGTGCCTTTATCTCACGTTGAGGGAGGTGAGTTCGGAAAGGCTCTTTTCTTCAGCAGTGTGGGACCTTTTTGTGTCTGTCTGTGAAATTTGACAAATGCAGTTTCGAGTCTGAAACGGCGTTGGTTTGCCATACTTCCCCCCCCCTCCCTCTCAGTGTAATGACTTCCAACTTCCTCGTGCTTCCCTTCCAGTATTGCTGGGCTTGTTGCTATTAATATATAAACAGCTATATCGGTGCCTCATATTCGGGTGGCTTTAAGGATGGGCTGCCCTTACGATTTCCACCCCCACTGCCCCCTGTTTCTCTGCGTGTTTCTTCAAAGTGGGACTTGGGTTTATTTTTGTTGTGCTTAAACGACAGAGTCCCTGGGATCGGCTGCAAAGTCGTTTTCTTTTTTGACAAAATGCCCGAAATGTTTGGTTATATACTAGCTTGCCGTGTACGATGCCCTACTGCTTCTTAAAAGGGGTGTTTTTAAAAAAATAAATGTGTAGAAGTGTTGGCTTGGAATGGGGGAGGGGAGGCGAGCCGCCTTGCTTTCTGATCGCTGGCATTTGTCATGTCGGGTGGGGGGGGGAAGGGAGCACGAGAAAGGGTGTTGCTGGTTATGAGGAACGAACTTGGACGCTTAGACTGTATTTTAAAGTCCAAACGAGGGGGGGGGAGGGGACGTGAGAGAGTCGCGCTGTGAAATGGTGTAGAGTTTGCATAACCCTCAAGGTGGGGGAGGGGGAATCCCATTCATGAACCAGGCTTGAATCAGCAAGCTCCGGGAGAGCTCGTGGCTGTGGCGAATCGTGAAATTTCGCTGCCACCAGGCCTCTTCTGCTCTCCCCCCCCCCCCCCCTTCTCGGAATTGTAGCAGAAAATCAGGGTGTCCCATCAATTAAACACGTGTTTTGCCAATGGGCAGCATGGCAACCTGTTGACGGCACGTTTGGAAGTCGGGAGTTTCCCCTTCCTCTTTGCCATACTAAACCACCACCACCCTCAAACGAGTGTTGCCCGTTGAGCTGATTTATCCCGTTTTATTCCCTCTTGTTCTTAAATCTGTGCTGTTGACCTACTATTTTGATTTGGGTGCGAAGACAAATTACTGTTTCAGACTTGGCTCCATTGCATACTGGATTCTTAAATGGCCAGTGCCCCTCCCCCACTTTCTGATAGTTTTCCTGGAGCTTTAGAACTGAAGCAGGTAGCTTACAAAGCCTCTTAAAGGTAGCTTAACATAACCACAGGAGCCCTTTACAATTGGTTTTAATTTATTGTATGCTTTTTTTCTGGTACATTAGCTGTACATGAAACTAAAAAGCTGTGTCCCAAAAAAAAGCTTATGCTGACAAAGTGGTAAATGTTTAAACATGAAATAGGTTTTCTTTAGTATAATTTTTAGTTAATGGGTTTCTTAATGTTCCTTGTGTTGTTCTGGTTGTAAAATCAGGAAGTCTTCAAGAACGGTTTCTGTGCCAGATTCCAGATTTTATGATGGATCTTCATGCCTTGACCCATTGTTGAGTTAATTGTAAACTAAGTTTTCTCAAACAGTAGAAGCAAGGTTAAAGTCCTTATGCTTTACTGCACATGATGGATATGTCTTTTTGTCTTATGCCTAAATGTACATTTTTCCAGTTAGGCTATCACATTTTTTCATCATGGATATAATCTACCTTTGGAACAAAGTTTGAGTCCAGTGGCACCTTTAAGGCCATCGAAGTTTAATTCTGGGTATAATTAATTGTGGGCATAAGCTTTCGTGTACACGAAACCTTATACCAAGAATTAAAGTTCAATGGTCTTAAAAGGTTCTACTGGACTTAGACTTTGTTCTGTTGCTTCAGACCAACATGGCTACCTACCTGAATCTACCTTTGTATGATACCAAAAATCCTGCATCCCATGACAGAAGATTCACTTATGCAGTCCAGGAATACCAGTGGTGGTTATTCCAAAACAGCAAGTTTACCGCAGGTTTGTTTACATGTTGGGTGAATCCCAGTGGCCTTCCAGCTGTAGCATTTTGCAGGTTTCTTTGGGTCACTGCTAGTGCTTGGTATGAATGGCTTGATCAGACTCCACCCATCTGAAACTGCCATGGTAATATTTACATAGTCTCATATCCTGATGTGACCATTCTCTAGTTCATTTAACCTTGAAGTTATATGAGTGTTTGATGCTGGTCTATGGCTGAAAGGACCTTGTGTAGCAAATAATAAATTTTGAGCTTTTTAAAATAATCATTGTGGAATATGTAAACATTACCATGTTTTAATAAAGAGTATTTGAACTAAATAGTAGCATACATAAAGTAACATATTTTAACTCATTTCTACATTGAACATATATCTGGATCATGTAAATAAATATATTGCAAAGTAAGCTAAGGTGCTGTTATTACACGATCAGTAAAGAGGTCCATGATAGTGCGTGTGTTAAATAATTTCCTGTCCAAATTGTCTGTCTTGGCTGTGTACAATATTGTTGAATTGTAAGACATTTATTTGGTGTGTTTTTGCCCTCTTTTCTTTGAAACCAGACCCAAGGCAGTTAATTTGAATAGATTAACTCTAATGTATCTCAGTTGTCCCTTAAAAAGTGAAAATTATAAAATGAGAAGATTGTTTTCATTTTGCCTTGAAACTTGTAAGCTATTTGATTACCTTGAGAATGTTAATTAAAGGGAGAGAAACACAGTTTTTAAAGCTAAAAGTTAAAAATTCATTTTCTAGACTATGCAGTGGCAGCTGTACCAAGCCCCTTACATTCTCCATAGAGTCAAGTTACAGGCCTATTTCTATGACTGGTGATAGTGATATACTTCTTTCTCTGTGTCTCTATGGTAAACACTCTGTAAATATGACACTGGCAGTTAACAGTGGTAGTGAAATCAGTTTAATACTGAAAGGGCAATGAGTATAACTCCTTGGTGCCTTCAGGACAAAATTTATCTGGATCTAGTTACTCACTGGGCCATGGTGGCTTAGAGGTTAAGACGCTGAGCTGCAGACTGGAAGGTCTGTAGGTCAACAGTTCGAGACCCTGGTGCTGCATGATGGAGTGAGCTCCCGTCTCTGGCCCCAGTTCCTGCCAACCTAGCAGTTCGAAAGCAAGAAATTGCAAGTAGATAAATAGGTTCTGCTTCAGTGGGAAGGTAACGGCGTTCTGTGTGCCTCGGCGTTTAGTCATGCCAGCCACATGACCACAGAAACGTCTTCGGACAGTGCTGGCTCTTTGGCTTGGAAACAGAGATGAGCATTGCCCCCTAGAGCCGGATTCGACTAGCTTTCGAGCAAGGGAAACCTTAGTTACTCCCTGCTTTAATTTCTAAGCCAGTGTGGTATAATGGTTAACAGTGGCAGACTGTAATCTGGAGAACTGGGTTTGATTCTCTACTCCTCCGCATGAAGCCAGCTGGGTGACCTTGGGTCAGTCACAGTTCTCTCAGAGCCACTTTGAGACTCCTTCGGGTAGAGAAAAGCAGGGTATAAAACCAGCTTTTCCTCCTCCTCCGCCTGCTGAATTTATTTATTGATTTTTTAACTTTATAGCCCACTCAAGGGGGATTACTGACACTCAAGGGGGATTACAAAATATTAACATGCAATCTGACAGCATTCAGTAAACAATGCAGTAGGACTAGGATTACAAAATTAGCAAGCAATGCGACAAAAAGCAGTATAAGTACCAATAAGAATTTTTATATCTTGACGAACATTTATTACTTGTGATTTGTGTGTATGTGTGGGAAGAACAAAGGTTGATTTATGCCCTAATGTGTGAAACTCTGGTTCTCCCATCGTTTTCTTTTGTATTCTCCTTATAAGTGTGTTTTATCTGGTATCAAGGTTGAAAGAAGGCCTAAAGGTTGTAAAGTCAGGCCCGTTTCCTGAGAGCTACTGTTTGCTTGTACAAGGGCAACTTGAATTTCTGTCTCAAAGGCTTAGATAGGTCAATGTTTCCAGGACTAATCACGTTCCCATATTTTTTAAAAACAACAAACCTTTGAAAGAAATTAGCCACTTTATAACAATTAATGCAGATTTACAACAATAATGAATTATTCAAACTGAGTAAATTTGTGGTACCTTATTTCCCTTAATGTTGTAAGAACACAGAGGTGTTGGTAGGATTCAGCTGCCATCATCTGTATCTCTATAATCTAATATCACGTATAGTGCAAAAGTTACACCCTTCTAAATCCATTGAAGTCAGTGGGTTTAGGACGCTGCAACTTAGGTTAGAACTGCACTGTTAGAGCAATGTGCTTCAAGGAGGGCTCCCTTTGTTAGAAATTCAGTTCATGGAATGCGCTGCATAGTCCCTCTCCATTCTGGATTTTATTTCATTTGTTGGGTAGCAGCTGCGCTTGCTTACAGTTCACTTCTGGGATAGTTCAAGGTTTTCTTTTAACCAACAAAGATCTTTACATTCTGTGTAAAATATATCTGAGGCAGATCTTTTGCTTACATGAGACTTATCCACTAGGCCCTACTTAGTTTTCCTTTAGTTCAAGATGCTGTATTTGTGACTGAAAGTGAAACCTTTTCAGTTTTGGCTCTGATTTAATTGGAGCAGCTTGTCCATGGGATCCTTCTTTTAGAAAAATCGTTAAATACAATTATTTTTAGATAGATGCAGCAGCCTTACGCATTAAGAACACTGATCCTTCTTTCCTCTGTATGGTCAACTTGGACTGGTTGTGTCTAGCATTTAGGCCAATAGGCTTTCCCCTAGCATGTGCTACTGAGATCTTTTAATTGGAGATATCAGAGACTGGACCAAAGATCTCCTTCATCATGTAAAGAATGTGCTCTACTATGGTCCAGGCCTGTAGCTATGGTGGGGCACCTTCGGGCCCTGTCCCTTTAATTTTCACCCATGTCCCACAGTTTGCAGGCAGAAACTCAAGCACCCTGAATTTTTTTTGTCCCTGCAAGCTATTCCAGTGCATTCTGAGCTTGAAGACTACATTTCCCACCAATCCGTGCTGCCTGTGCTTCTACACGGTAGGGGAGAGCAGTTATGTG